AGAAGAAAAATGGTAGGCAGGTGATTTATATCTTCTCAGGAAGTTGGGGTAGGGCTGAGTCATTATCTTGTAGGAGTTCCCCAGGCTGTGACTCCTACAAGATAATGACTCAGCCCTACCCCAATGCTGCCTCTGAGCTGTGGAATCTTGTGAGCAAAAATTCTACTTTGTGAGCTACTGGCATTAAAGTTGTGAGCGAGCGATTGGGCTACTGCATCAATTAGCTTGCTCTGGAGGCATCCTCCCTGAGCTAACACAAAAAAAACTGTGAGCTGAAGACTAAAAAACTGTGAGCTAGCTCACACTAACTCAACTTAGAGGGAACACTGTGCACTGCTTACTCCCAACTCCAGATCATTAATAAACAAGTTAAAAAGCATTGGACTGAGTACTGATCCTTGTGGAGCGTCAGGGCCTTTGAACTCCAGTTCTCCAGAGCATGGCTGGACTGGCGCTATAAAGTTAAGGGCCAAGCAAGTTACTACAGTGTAAAAGCGTCAATCCCCGCAAACTGCAGCCTAGGTTGGCTGGTTCGCAGACCACGCCTCCTACCTTGCTCACCTGGCCCCTTAGGATCTAGTGAAGGGGAGCGGGTGGGATTCCGAATTCTAATTCATTTTAGAACCAAGACATGTTTTGTGAGCGTGTGTTTGAAGGTTGGGGGGTGCTCATTTGAAATCCTGCGGGGGGGGGGTCACCCTGAACTCACACCAGCTTGCTCCTTTGTCTTCCCAAACCCCGACCCAAATATTTCCAAATAGCTGCTGTGGTGGGAATTGCCTTTGCTTTTCTTGCCCAGATCCCGGGCACCAGGGGTCATTTAGTAGAAAAAGAGATGCAGGAGCTCATTAGCATAACTCATTAGCATGACTTATTTGCATAGGCCACACCCCCTGACATCACCAGAAGTGTGTCAGAAGGCAACGCCCACCGCTCAGGCTCCCCTGGATTGTTTTGGATTGCTAGCCATGGGGGGAGGGGAACATGCAGATTTGTCCTCGCAGAGGAGGGAGAGCTTGTACCCGAATAAAACTTGGTCTTAAAGGTGCCACTGGACTGTTTTGGACTGGAGGGTGGGGTGGGGGGCTCTGCAACTTACCTGGCTGCTTCTTGCTCTGACTTAGGGGCTGCTTGGGGGGGGGGAGTCTGGAAAA